GGGACCGAGGCTCTGGGTGGGGCATCTTCCCCGCCCAGACTCCTCATCCCCTGAGCCCCTCTGAGCCGGGCCTGGGGTCGGGCCAAGTGTGTAGGACTCTGAGTCAAGCAAGGTAAGGCCTGTGTGGCCCTGGTGGTCTGGCTCATATGGGACCAGAGAACAGTTCTGCTGGGGCCCGGGGGGGCCACGTCCAGGAGCTGTTTCCGACTATCAGGGCTGAAGGCCTGGCTGCTTGTTGAGGCTGGAACAGAGTCAAGCAGACTGAGGCTTTAAGTACTTTCTGACGTTGGCCGGGGGTGGTGGTTCATGCTTGTGATCTTGAGACTTTGGGAGGCCGAGGCGGGAGAATTGCTTGAGCCTAGGAGATCTAGACCAGCCTGGGTAACAGAGCGAGACCTCGTCTCTACAGTTTAAGAACTTAGTTGAATGTGGTGACTCATAGTCTCAGTTACTTGAGAGGCTAAGGCGGGAGATTGCTTGAGCCCAGGAAATTGAGGATGCAAGAGTTATGATTGTGTCACTACACCCCAGGCATCACAGTGAGACCTTGTCTCTAAAAAGGGGGGGGCGGTGCTGGGCGGGGTGGCTCAAGCCTGTCATCCCAGCACTTTGGGAGGCCGAGGCGAGAGGATTGCCTGAACCCAGGGGTTTGAGGCCAGCCTGAGCAACATGGCAAGACCTCATCTCTACAATAAATAAAAAATCAACCGGGTATGGTGGGTGCGCCTATAGTTCTGGCTACTTGGAAGGATCGCCGGAGCCCAGCAGGTCGAGGCTTCGGTGGCTTTGAGCGTGCCACTGCCCTCCAGCCTGGGCAACACAGTGAGAATCCAACTAAAAAAAAAAAAAAAAAGACTTTCTGACATTGGAGCTGCAAAAGAGTGAGCAGGATGCCTGACCCTTTTACAGACAAGGAAACTGAGGCTTGCAAAACAAATAAAGGGCCAACAGGAATCCAGTGCGCAAGAGGCAGGCAGTGCAAGGGACGGTCCCAGTTCTACCTGGGCAGCCCTGACCTCCGGGCACAGTGTCTGCGGTCTGGGACCCGGCCTCCACGCTGCCGTCCTGCGTGGGGAGGGAGTCTGATGGGCCCCGGGGTGGGCTTTTCTGAGAAGTCAGCATTCAGAGAGGTTCGGGGATTTGCCCCGGGTCACACAGGGAGGGAGCCAGGACCCAGACGCCTGGCCGGTCCAGTTGGCCCTTGACCGTGGATCTTGGGGCCATGGCGGGGTGGGGGTGAAGGGTCAGGATGTCCAGAAGTCGGCGGGGGGGCTGGGGGACAGGAGGCCCACCGTGCCGCCCAGAGCCCCTGCCCCTCCCGAGTTCTCCAGATGGGAGCTTGCGCCTGTCCCCTCGTCTGGTCTTTGGCGCTCCCTTGCGGCCCCAGCGAGCACGGCCCGGCCGACCTCCTGGGAGAACCGGCCGCGCCCCGCCCGGGAGGGAAGGACCCCGAAAGCTACAGGTGAGAGCCAGGAGGGCCCCGAACCCCTCAGGCCAGAGCCGGCAGGGCCTGCACCATCCGAACTCCTGTCCCCTCCCCCTCCCACAGGATTCCGAGGCACTGAAGCGGGGTCCCCAGGCTTGGGTTTTGAGTCCTGGCTTCTCTTCACAGCCTGACTTGGGTAACACACCCCGACTCTGTTTCCCCAGATATTTTTCGGACTGTGGGGCCTTCGAGGCCGCAGGGCGGGGTCTCTGCGGTCACACGGAAGACCCCAGACATCGAGAAACACTGTCTGCTACCAGGAGGTGCTCAGTTCAGTTCGACACACATTCACGGGGCGCCTCCTCCTTCAAGCAGCCCCATTTCTGTGGGGCAGGCAAACCCCCAAACAGATCTGTTTTCTTTGTTTGAATCAGAATCTCACTCTGTCGCCCAGGCTGGAGGGCAGGGGCGCACTCACGGCCACCGCGGCCTCGACCTGCTGGGCTCAGGTGATCCCCCCGCCTCAGCCTTCCAAGGAGCCGGAGCCACAGGCGCGCGTCACCACACCCGGCTAATTTTTTGACTTAATTTCGAGACGAGATCTCACCGAGTTGCCCAGGCAGCTGGTCTCGAACCCCTGGACGCGGGCAGTCCTCCCGCCTCGGCCTCCCAAAGTGTCGGGATTACGGGCGTGAGCCACCGCGACCGCGTCCGGCCTCAAGCCGACTCTCGATGAAAGGGCGCGTCGTCCCAAGCCACCGAAATGCCCACCCGCCCTGGATCGCTGCCCTTGGACGGACACCCCGTCCCTCGGCGTCTGGTCCAGCCCGGCTGCACACAGCT